GGGGACGGGGGACGGGGGACGGGGGACGGGGGACGGGGGACAGGGGACGGGGGACGGGGACAGGGAGCCCGACACTAAGATGGCTGCGAGGAGACTAAACAATTACCATCTAAAACCAAACATACCTGGGTAAGCATGTTCCTAAATGCTTCAACCTCATTTTCTTTACCCCATGAAGTTATTGTACTGTAAAAAAGTTAAACCAATTAAAAACAGGGGCGTATCCAGAATTTTCATTGGGGGGGAGGGGGAGGGGAGAAGGATGGAAGGGAGAGAAGGACTGTGCAGAGGTAATAATGAAGATGTGCAAAAAAAGAGAGAACTAAGACTTATAAAAAGTACAGTGTAATGCTGACCTGTGCTCTGCAGCTGGAATGGAGAAACCTGCCATGTCACAGCCATAGTAATTTCTGCAAACATAATGCAACTCACATAATGAACCAAAATAAACTCTTCATAATTGCTGTCAGAGCTTCTCTTATGAAAACCCAACCAATTTTGAGAATTCAAAAAATAAAATAGAATGGATATCTAAATAAATAAATGAATATATGTAGTGCAAGTACCTTGCAATAATTACACCTGCAATGGTATCAGAACCAAGGAAGTTGACAAGATGAGAACAACCACCAATCCCTGCAGACTACAACAAGTAACCACACTTAGACACCAATAATAATCTCTCTACCATGGCAACGCCCCAATCTATCTACCATGGCAACATACTTATCTCTCTACCATGGCGACATACTTATCTCTCTACCATGGCAATGCCCCAATCTATCTACCATGGCAACATCCTTATCTCTCTACCATGGCAATGCCCCAATCTATCTACCATGGCAACATCCTTATCTCTCTACCATGGCAATGCTCTAATCTCTTTACCATGGCAACATCCTTATCTCTCTACCATGGCATCATACTTATCTGTCTACTATGGTAACATCCAAATCCTTATCTGTCTACCATGTCAACATCCTAATCTTTCTACCATGGCAATACCTAGATCACTCTATCAAGGCAACATCCTAACCTCTCCACCATGGCAACATCCAAATCCCTCTACCATGGCAACATTATAATATCTCTACATTCAACTCACCTCTACTGATGTGCTTCCTCTAAAACCAAAATCATGAAGTTTGAACTGAAGACCATCCACATTGCCAGTAGTTTCAATCAGATACTGAAAATATGCATATCTTAGACATTAAGATATACAAATTCTTAATAATTTGGGCAAAAAATGTTGGAAAAAATGATGTCATTTTCTCCATTCTTTTGTTCTTCCATCTTTTGAACCAAAATTTCTCTGATGTGGGATAATTCCAAAACAAAGATTTTCCCGCACAATTGTTGTTTTATAGATATAAATGAATCATATATTTGTATTGCTTGAAGTTTTGAAATAAGGGCATTTTCATGCAAGTAGCACTTTAATAAATTCATTGATTACTTTAAATGATGCTTTCAGGTGAAGATTATGTACAATAAAACATTAAGTGTTTTCTATTATAATTGAAGATGCAGTTAAATATAAGATCAAGCAAATAATCTGGATTTTATATTCATCACCTGTGCAATTATTTTTTTCTGTTCCCTTGAGTTCGTAGCAACTGTAGTAGGATACCAGCACTGAACCAAAACAGTCTGACAGAAAAATATCATAATATAATAGCATTACATGCAATATTCTTGCTTTTTACTATATATTACTAAGCTGGGTGCCCTGTTGCCTTTTGGTGTAAATTTTTATGATTTGCCAGGGGCACCATATTATGATTTGATTTCTATGTCTTTTAGGGTACACAGCTATCAAAATGAGATGTATTTGATAAGAAAGTTAATAAAATACCACAATATAGTACATTGACATATGACATGCATTGTATTGCATACCTCAACCCAGTTGGTAAGCCAAAAACATTTAGGATCTGTGTTTTGAACTGTGAATAAGACTGAAAATTTCGAATGACTTATTTTAATAGGACTTGATAAAATTAGGTTAATCACCACAAAACAATTATTTTCTATTGAACATTTACTGCAGGACATCTAGTTTGTTTTTTGTATTCCTTGTCATCTTTGTTGTTTCACAATAATCTATTGTTCTAGCTGCATTATAGTGTATTATAAAATTTTTGATATATAATGCACGCTCTGATTGGCTGACGACCGTGTTTATATCAGAGGACAGAGACACGCGCGCCGTTTTATATTTCTTAATTCCTGAATGCCTTACTGCAACATGTAGCTATAACTTAATCAGCATTAATGAACAAATATCAATTGATTGATAGCTACATGAACCACAACTGGCATATACACCTAATTGAAGAAACGTTGTCGGGTCAGAAAAGGTCAAATCATAGAAGCTAAGACCGAAAGGGTACTTGGGAAGACAAACAATTTGGCTATAATTTCATAACAAACAGCTCTCCAGCATAAAAGACTATCATGCTGTTAATCTTACTAGCTCTACTTGCTTAGTGTACACCGTATATGCAAATGTAATCCTAATTCAAAATCCCTTTCGGTCTTAGCTTCTATGATGTGACCTTTTCAAACACGACTACGTTTTTTCAATTCTCGACTCCCTCTATAAAATTTGCATATGAAAGTGCCCAGTGCATTGTGGTTAGAGTGGTATCAAATCTGGACAAAATGGCGGAAAATTTCCCGCGAAGTCTTCCATCGGATCAATTGGATTCCTTTACGGCTCTCTCTTCTGAACCTAGCTCTTCTGAGAGCTCTAGTACGATTCTGCTAGAGCCGAATGAGCCACCACAGAGTTTATATGTTTCTGAT